CGCTTTGGTCCTGGAGAGCAGCCCTCCCAGGTTGGACCACGACTCTCAGCAGGAGACCAGGTGATGCTTACCTGGGAGAGAGGGATGAGCTGAAAGGTGTGTGGCGGGGAGGTGTATGTTCATGAGAAAAAGATTGCAAGGAAGGCCATCAGTTAGGGCATTAACAGTAATGCAGAAATGGTCGTATATTCCATCTGAATAATCATGCCATTTTAAGTAAAACAAATAAAATGTGTACTTTTGCTTGGCTCTCTCTGTATTCTTGTCCTGATGCCACAAATGATTTACTCATATAAATGTTAGTTAAAATTTTTGGCGATTTCTTTGCCAAGAACAATTATTTTCACCCAAATGCTTTTTTTTTTTTTTTTTAAAAAAAGGAATTTATTAAATTTATTTATTTATTTATGGCTGCGTTGGGTCTTCTTTGCTGCACATGGGCTTTCTCTAGTTACAGTGAGGGGGGGGCTACTCTTCGTTGCGGTGCGCGGGCTTCTCATTGCGGTGGCTTCTCTTGTTGCGGAGCACGGGCTCTGGGCATGGGGGCTTCAGTAGTTGTGGCTCTCGGGCTCTAGAGCGCAGGCTCAGTAGCTGTAGCTCACAGGCTTAGTTGCTCCGCGACATGTGGGATCCTCCCGGACCAGGGCTCGAACCCGTGTCCCCTGCGTTGGCAGGTGGATTCTTAAGCACTGTGCCACTGGGGAAGTCCCCCCCTATGCTTTTAAATCGATATGAAGATTTGTAACACTATCAGGAAGTAGCCGGGAAAATGTTTAGATGCTTAATGTCCTTCAGACCCCAAAAGTCTGCTGAGTTGAAACTCTAACAATAGATTTTCAAGTTTGCAGGTTCCATCTGCCCTTTGTGAACTCAGATCATGGCAAGTAATTATAGAAATAGGGCTGCAAATACATAAGCTCTTTTGGAGGGGAAATTGATTGCGGTTTCACTCCCCAAGGTATGTTCTACTGCATCCCTCCTGGGACTGTAGGACCAGCTGGGATTAATCGTGAGAACTTGGTAACCTGATGGCAGGGATTGTGTAAGCTTGTTTCCTAGAGGCCAGACCGCGCTACTTGCACGGTAGTGCTGTGTCAAGAATGCGTTTGCTTTGTTTTTTCTTAAAAATGCACACATCTTTGGGGAGGAAAAAAAAAACGGGTATACAATAAATAACGTCTGATGCTAAAAAATTCCTGTCAGTAGCTCAGCCATTTGTTTTCCTTCCCTTCTAGGAACGTCATATGACAGTTCACATACGTACCCACACTGGAGAGAAGCCGTTTGCCTGCCTCTCCTGCAATAGATGTTTCCAACAGAAGCAACTTCTAAATGTGCACTTCAAGAGATACCATGATGCAACTTTCGTCCCGACTGTTTACAAATGCCCCAGGTGTGGCAAAGGCTTTTCCCGCTTGGTAAGCTCACTCAAGTCCCAATAAATCCTCCTTGAAAAGATCCCTGTGTCCCCAGGCACAGTGTCACACTTGGGCAGTTTTATCCTGATTATAGAAACTCGCAGGGATTTAAGATAGCATCTGTCATGCCTTAAGAAAGTGGTTATTAGTTTTTTGGAGTCACAAAACTCTTGAAAATCTTATAAACATGTGGTTTCCCTTCCGTGAAAAAAGACACTCCTGCAGACAGAATCTTGCAAATGGCTTTAGGGAGTTCTCAGGCTCCCAAACAATCTACAAAGAACCCCTGCTTTTAGGGTAACATTTTAAAAATTGTCCCTGTGGATTAGTTTTAGGCTACTGCACAGAGAGAATGCAATTTTTAATATGTTTTGTAGATATTCTTAGAACAGGGCTCTCGGTACTGTGCTCAGAAATACATTTGCTCTTCAATTGTATTATTTTAGGCGTCGTATTAGTTATCTGTTGCACAACAAACTACTGAGACCTAGTGGCTTAAGACAACCAACATTCGTTGTCTCTCATTTTCTGTGGGTTGGGAAGTTGGGAGTGGCTCAGCTGGGTGGTTCTGCCTCTGGGTCTCTCGTGAGTTGCCGTCAGGATGTTGTCAGGGGCTGTAGTCATTTGATGGCGTGACTGGAGCTGGAGGTACCGCTTCTAAGGTGGCGTGCTCAACATGGCTGTTGGCAGGAGGCTTCAGTTCCTCACTATGTGGACCTCTCCATTGGGCTGCTCCAGTGTCCTCGTGACCAGAGCGAGAGAGAGCAAGGAGGAAGCCACAGTGTCCCCTAATCTTAGAAGTGACACGACCCTACTTCTGTTCATTAGAAATGCAGCATATAATTCAGCCCATATTCAAGGGGTGAGGGGTAAAGTCCCTTTTGAAAGAAAGAGTGCCAAAGAATTTGTGGACATTTTAAAGCCACCACAGATGATTAGCTAGATCCCTAGATGATGTGCGTACTTTATAAAAGTTTAAAATTATCTGAACTTGACTATTTTTATGGAAGAAACTATCTATCTTTTCTCTTAGAAGAAGATGGTAGGGTAGTTGTGTTTTTTGGGTAGTGTGTGGCACAGTTCTGGAGTGTTAATGCTATTAGTTCAAAATTTCAAACAGAAGCAGTGGCAGTGCTCCAAAAAGAGTGTCACTCATACTGAGTTAAAATTGTAAAGAAGCTGCCCTTTGGTGTGAGAAACAAGAAAGCAGAGAAAAGAGTAAGTCAGCCTCATAGAATCCTTCAGGACATAAAGTCAGAAGTTTTGAAACTTTTCCTTCCATTCAAGAAAGCACATTGGGACTTGCATCTAGAATATAGAAGGAATTTTTACAACACTATAATAAAAAGTTAAATACCCTATTAAAAACAGGCAAAGGATCTAAGTAGACATTTCTCCGAAGAAAATATACAGATGGCCGATAGGCACATGAAAACATTCGTCACTAAGGAAATGCAAATCAAAATCACAGTGAGATACCTCTAGGACAAGCCATTAGAATGGCTGTGATCAAAGAAGGCAGATAATAAAAGATGTGGGAAAACTGAACCTGTTATACATTGCTGGTGGGATTTTTAAACGGTGAAGTCACCTTGTAAAACAGTCCGGCAGTTCCTCAAAAAGTTAAACATAGAGTTACCATGTGACCCGGCAATTCCACTCTTAGGCATGTATCCCAAAGAGTTGAAACATATGGCCACACAAAAACTTGTACGCAAATGTTCACAGCAGCATTATTCATAATAGCCCAAAAGTGGAAACTACCCAAATGTCCATCAGCTAACAAACAGATAAAACATGGCCCGCCCATACACTGGAATATTATTCAACCACAAAAAGAAGTGAAACACTGATATATACTATATAACATGGGTGAACCTTGAGAAAAGCCAGACACAGAAGGCTACATATTATATGATCCATCTTGATGACATGTCCAGAACAGGCAAATTCGTAGAGACAGAAAGTAGATCAGTGGTTGCCTGGAGCTGGAAGGAGGGGGAATGCAGTGTTTACGGTATAGGATTTCTTTTTGAAATGTTCTAAAATTGATTGTGGTGGATAGTTGCACAACTCTGTGAATGAACTAAAAACCTTGAATTATACATTTTAAACAGGTGGATTTTATGGTATGGGAATTATATCTCAATAAAGCTGTTTATAAAAAATAAAAGAAAGGGATTTCCCATTTCTGGTTCCATGTGTAAGGAACTTGGAAGTCACTACCTCATCCTAACAAGTAAAAAACTGAATAGAGTGAAAAATCAACAACTCTTTAGGATCCGTAAAAGAGGCGAGGCCACAGGGCAAACCGCTGCCCCCAAGCTTGGAGACACAGACAGGTGAATGCAGGGCGTCCCCTCTTACCTGAACAGAGACTTAGAAGCAGGAACTGCTGTGGAAGCCAGTGCCGGTGTAGGAAAACCAGAGCTGTCACTGATGAATTGCTGGAGGCTCGGTGTGGACAACTGAATGTTGAAAGGTGCAGGGGGATCCAGTCATAGGGGGATCCCCACAATATTTTGAGCTTTACTACCAGGAGTTTAACAAGGTTCCCACAGCGAATATCTAAAAAAAAACAAAAAACAAAAAATCTCCTTCTGCTTCCTGCAGGCGGAGTGGAAAAGGAACCATTCTTCTTACCAAGGCCTGTCCTAGGGGTAGACTAGTTAACCAGTGCCTAATCTGCTGGGGTTTTATCAGAGCCTAACTGACCTGGAGAAGGGAAATACCCAAGTCTACCCCATTGCAGACATTCTGTCCCACCCAAGAGGGGAGAAAAAATAAACTCAGAAACCACAGCCCAGAGGCACAGGCTCACGAAAAGGCTGAGCCCTCAACACAGGCTGGAGAATGCATCCCACACCACCACATTATTAAAGGCTTATTTACAGCAGCTCCTTTTATCCAAAAAAAAGAAAAATTCCAAGGCGTGCCAAACAGCAAAAAACACAATTTGAAGAGACAGAGCAAGCGTCAGGAATGGCAGGGATGTTGGAGTTATCAGGCCAGGAGCTTAAAACAACTATGATTCATATGCTAAGAGCGCTAACAGAAAAAGTAGACAGGGTTTCCCTGGTGGCACAGTGGTTGAGAGTCCGCCTGCCGATGCAGGGGACATGGGTTTGCGCCCCGGTCCGGGAAGATCCCACATGCCACGGAGCGGCTGGGCCCGTGAGCCATGGCCGCTGAGGCTGTGCGTCCGGAGCCTGTGCTCCACAGCGGGAGAGGCCACAGCAGTGAGAGGCC